GAATTGGAAATACCATTTGATCCAGCAATCCCATTACTAGATATATATCTTAAATAAATGAGAGCCAGGACAAGAACAGATACATGCACACCCATATTCATCACAGCACTATTCACAAGAGCAAAAAGATGGAAACAGTCTAGGTGCCCATCAGCCAAAGAATGGATAAGCAAACTATGGTACATACACTCAACGGAATACTATGAAACACTAAAGAGTAATGTAGAATCTGCAAAACTCTGCATAACGTGGGTGAACTTGGAGGACATTATATTGAGTGGAATAAGTCAATCACAGAAGGACAAATATTGTATTAGTCTGTTATTGTAAAAAGTCAAGGAAAGATTTATATAAGATTTCTTTGTTGGTTACCAGGGGTGAGAGGTGAGGGGAGGGGACACTGCAAAAATATAAATAAATAAGTAAGTTAAAAAAAGAGAGAGAAAGAATGAATAAAGTTGACAAACTGAGGCCAAATTTAACAAAGGAGAAGATGCAAATAACATGAATGAAAAATGAAACAGGCCCTGTCACAATAGAAACAACTGAAATAAAAAAGGATAACAGAATACTATGAAGAACTAGACTTAAACAAATTTGAAAACCTAGAAGAAATGGATGAATTTTTGGAAATATACTACCCTACCCAAGCTAACACAATCTGAGGTAGAAAATTTGAACAGACTCATCACAAAAGAATAAATTGAACAGTTCATAAAAATAATCCCAACAACAACAAAAAAATTCTGGCCCATATGGCTTCATTGGGACATTTACCAAATATTCAGAGAAGAACTAATACCAGTTCTGTACAAACTATTAAAGAACATAGAAAAAGATGGAATAATTCCATACTCATTCTATGAAGCAAGCATAACCCTGATACCCAAATCAGGCAAAGACATCACTAAAAAAGAAAATTGTAAACCAATAAATATCCCTCATGAACATAAATGCAAAATATATAAAAAATAGTAATACATTATGATCTGGTGGGATTTGTACCAGATATACAAGGATGTTTTGAAATTACAAAAGCAATCTGTAATCCACCACATAAATAAAGAAAAAGAATCACATGATCATATCCATGCAGAAAAGGCATTTGTCAAAATTCAACATCTGTTCTTGATAAAAATGCTCAGCAAAATAGAAATAGACGGGAAATACCTCAATATAATTTAGGGTAAATACAGAAAACCAACAGCCAACATTATTCTCAATAGAGAGAGACTAAACATTCTCTTTGCAAACAAGAACCAGACAAGAATGCTCCTTATTACTCCCGTTCAATACTGTATTGGAAGTCCTAGCTAGAGCAATAATGCAAGAAAGGGAAATAAAAGGCATCTAAATTTTCCTGTTATGTGCCGTTGAGTTGGACCCGACTCATAGTGACCCCTCCTTGGGTTTCCGAGGCAGTATCACTACAGAAGTAGATTGCCCAATCTTCCTTCCGAAGAGTGGCTGATGGGTTTGAACCACAAGCCTTCTGGTTAGCAGTCAAGTGCCTTAGCCACTACACTATCAGAGCTCCTAAATTTTCCTAGAAGAAGTAAAGCTATGTTTATTTTTAGAGAACATGATCTTATACATGGAAAATTCCAGAGAAACAAGAAAACCCTGAAAAAAATAGAAGGATTCAACAATATGGCAGATTATAAGATCAATATGAAAAAATCGGTCAGAGTCCTCTTAATTAACAAAGATAACTCTGAAATCAAAATCAGGAAAACAATATCGTTTAAAATAGCCATCCAAATGATGGAGTACTTGGGAATAAATCTAACCAGAGAAACAAAAGACCTATACAAAGAAAACTACAAAACACCATTACAAGTAACGAAAAGAGACGATAGTTGGAAAAATATACCCTACTCATGAATAAGAAGACTTAACATTTTGAAAACATCAATATTGCCCAAAGCAATCTATAGATATAATGCAGTCCCAATCTAGATTCCATCATTATTCTTAGAGCAATGGAAAAGCTAATCACCAATATTATATGAAAAGGGAGGTGACCTTGGATAAGCAAAGCATTACTAAAGAAGTAGAACAAAGTAGGAGGCCTCACACTCCTCTAGCTCAGTCAAAACAGCCTGGTATTTGTACAATGACAGATGGTTGGATCAGAATAGAATTGATAATCCAGAAGTAAATCCATCGACCTATGGACAGGTGATCATTGACAAAGGGCCTAAACCCATTCAATGGTGAAGAGATAGTCTCTTTAACAAATGGTGCTAGTAGAATTATTATCTATTTGCAGAAAAATTAAACAATATCTCACCATATACAAAAACTAACCCAAGATGGATCAAAGTCCTAAACACAAAGCCTAGAACTATAAATTTCATCAAAGAAAAAACAGGCAAACTCAAGGGTCCTAATATATGGTATTATCAACATAACTGTTGTTGTGTACTGTCGAGTCGGACATGACTCATAGCGACCCCTCCTTGGGTTGCTGAGGTAGTATCACTACAGAAGTAGATTGCCCAACCTTCCTTCCAAGGAGTGGCTGGTGGGTTTGAACTGCCAGCCTTCTGGTTAGCAGTCAAGTGCCTTAAGCACTATGCTACCAGAGCTCCTATCAACATAACTAGAGAGGTACAAACAGCAGAAGACAGACTAGATGATTGGGACTTCCTAAAAATTAAAGATTTATGTGCATCAAAGGATCTCACTTATTTTTTTTTTTTTAATTGTGATTTGGGTGAAAGTTTACAGAGCAAATTCATTTTCCATACAGCAGTTCATACACATTCTGCTTTATGACCTTGACTACAATCTCCATAATATCTCTCTTTCCACTTCCTCCTTGTGGGTTACTTTTTCCCTGTGTCCTTCTTTCCTCAGCATTCTTACACTCCGAGCTATCTCCTTGTGCAAATACTGCTTTTCTGATCTCCCATGGTTGATTGATCTAAGGAGTGTACCTACCTGTTGTAAATGTTCACTTTATATGCCTGTCTGTTGTTTGGCTAGAAGCCACAGGAGTTAGTTCATTTCCAGGCTGGAATGGTGACAAGTGGCCATAGTCTCAGGGCTTTCACCAGTCTCTATCAGACCAGTAAGCCTTTTTATGATTATGAGTTGTATTCCACATTTTTTTCCCACTCTATCCAATGTGCCCTACAAAAAAAAAAAAAAAAAAACAAAAAAAAAAAAAAAAAAAAAAAAAAAATTAGCCTTTGAAATCTCTGTGGAGCACACTTCTACTCTTACACATATGGGCTACCATGAGTCAGAGTCAAGTCAACAGCAACTGATTTTTTCTTTTTAAATCTTACCAATTACTGATAATGCTAGGAGTCCTGCAGAACTGGATTGAAATCCCTGCTCCGATACTACTAGCTGTGACCCTGAGTAACTTACATTTTCAATTTCTGTCTCAGTTCCCACTTTTTAAAAACGATTCCTTGGCAGTATGAGCATTTAAATGTGATCATGGAAGGAAGCATCCAGCAACATGTCTGGCAATAAACGTGGCTTTCCTTTCTCAGGAGATTAAATAAAAAAGAAAGAAAGATTTCACTGAAAGAGGGAAAAAAGAGAAGCTGGGGATTGGGAAAAAAATTGGGCAACAACATATCAGATAAGGGACTAATCTTCAAAATTTATAGAAAACTTCAACATCTGAACAACTAAAAGACACACAATCATTTAAAGATGGGCAAAGGACATGAACTGACATTTTACCAAAGAAGGCATTCAGGTAGCCAACAAACATATGATGGGCATATTACACTACAACATTATTTCTCTGCATTTGTATGTGTTTGGAAATTATCTATATTGAGTTTTAAGAGAGAGAGACAAAAATAAAAAAAACCAAACTCACTGCTGTTGAGTTGGATCCAACTCATAGCGACCCCTCCTTGGGTTTCCGAGGCAGTATCATTATGGAAGTAGATTGCCCAGTCTTCCTTCAGAGCAGTGGCTGGTGGGTTTGAACCACCAGCCTCTGGTTAGCAGTCAAATGCCTTAGGCACTACTGCTATGAGAGAGGGGGGTGGAGAGAGGGAGAGAGGGAGAGGGAGAAATAAAATGTAAAGGGGCAATGGGAAGAGAGAAGTTTTTAAAATTAGGTTGAGGTCAATTTGTGAAACTGTTGAGATTCAAACCAAGAAACATTTTAAAGCATGTGGTGGTTATGTTTGTGTGTCAACTTGGCTGGGCCTGGTTGAGTGGCTGGACAGCTAAATGTAGTTATTCCCCATGGTGAGATTGGTAATTAACTCCATGGTAGGATCTATTGGAGCAGCTGAGTACCTGCTTTGGGTATGTGGTCTTCTCCCCATATTTAAGAAGTAGCTTTGGGAATGATCTCTAGCTGATGGTATACTTGAACCTTGCATGTAGCCATGTCATTGTTCAGCAGCTTGCCATGCTCTGCCGACCTTGGGACTATCAATGGACTTGAATGGATTGCCCACCATGTGGTCTGTAACATTAGGACTGTGCCATTTTATTTGCTGACCTTGGGCTTGTTAGCCCTAGAAGCCAGTAGCTGCCTGAGTGAGGAGATGCCTCTAGCTTCAGTGGCCCAGGAGCAAGAGGTAGAGCTGAAGTCCAAGGTCAAGGGGCTTTCATACAGCCCCTGGAGCCTGGCACTTTGAACTCGGACTTCTAGCCTCCTGAACTGTTAAGAGAATAAACTCCTTTTTGTTCAATATACCATTTCCTGTCAGAGTGGTACTAAGTAGCCAGAACAAAGCATAAAAAAACCCTATTAGATATAATTGAATTTAATTTGATGAGTTATGGATCAGGAACATGAATATCAAAGAGCAAATTGTTACATATTCAGTTGGCCAATAATAATTAGCCAGCTAGAGGCAAAACTTGGTCATGTATCCAGTTCTATTCAACTCTAGTCTAGTAATGTTAAAAATAAAGAGAAGCTACTTTCTTTCTTATTCCCAATAATGAAAGAGGCATGAGTACAAGCATCATATCTGACGAAATTTTACTTACACTTTCTTTTCATATAGTTAAGCTTCATGAGTGCAGTTCTTATCCTCAAATACACACGGATACTCCTTTCTCAAAACCAGTTGTCTGGGAGGTTTGTGACTGACAGAAAATTGATGTTAGAGCTCATCTTCCTTGTATCTGGAGTCTTGGAAGTATCTGACCACGAAAAATTGAGGAATGTGGACTATCTACGAGAAGAAGGAATTAAGATCATCTCAGACTTTTTATTAGTAAGTCATACTTATTTTTCACCCCCAAAAGGCAATTGCTTCTCTCTCTGAGGAGGTTAACAATTTTTAATCACTTTTTGAAAGTGAAAATAAAATCAATTCCTGAAGTACTTGCTTATTATTCTGGATGGTAGCTTCATATTTAGAATTTTCATTTTGAATTTTAAGTAATCCATGGTAGTATTTAATGTTTCCAATAAATCTTTGCTTCTGTTTCATGCTTTTTTGTTTTCCGTGGATTTTCATTTGAGATATTTGGGACAGTGTTTGACTTAGAAACATTATTTCTCAGGACATCTTCTGTTTTATGTAAATGAATGCAAATGAGTTTTCACCTACATTAATTTTAAAAATAGCCTTCTGATATATAACAGCAAAAAAAAAGCATGAAAATTTATTTTAGAAAGCATGAAATTAATTTTTTCATATTTCTACTGCATTGTTTTTATTGGTAGGTGCTGTCAAGTTGGTTCCAACTCATAGCAACCCTGTGTGCAACAGAGCAAAACACTGCTTGGTCTTGCGCCATCCTCATAATTATTCTTATGCTTGAGTGCATTGTTTCAGCCACTGTGTCAATATATCTCATTGAGGCTCTTCCTCTTTTTCACTGTTACTTTACATTACCAAGCATGATACTGTTTCCAGGGCCTGGCCGCTCTGAATAACATGATGAAAGTACAAAAACGAAGTCTCGCCAGCCTTGATTCCAACATGCATTCTGGCTGTACTTCTTCCAAGACAGATTGTTCTTCAGTCCATTATATATTCAATATTCTTTACCAACAACATAATTCAAAGACATCAATTCTTCTTCAGTTTTCTTTATTCATTGTCTAGCTCTCACATGCATATGTGATTGAAAAAACCATGGCTTGAATCAGGCACATATTTAGTCTTCAAAATGATACATTTGTTCTTTAACACTTTAAAGAGGTCTTTTACAACATATTTGCCAAATATAATATGTTGTTTGATTTCTTGACTGCTACTTCCATGGGTGTTGACTATAGATCCAAGTAAAATGGAATTCTTGACAACTTCAATATTTTCTTCATTTATTATGGTGTTGCATATTGGTCCAGTTGTGAGGATTTTTGTTTTCATTATGTTAAAGTGTAATCTCCACTGAAGGCTATAGTCTTTGATCTTCATCACTAAGTCCTTCAAGTCCTCTTCACTTTCAACAATTAAAGTTATGTCATCTGTGTATTTAAGGTTGCTAATGAGTCTTCCTCCAATCCTGATGCCATGTTGTTCTTCATTTAGTCCAGCTTCTTACATTTTCTCAGCATACAGATTGAATAAGTGTGGTGAAAGGATACAACCTTGATGTACACTTTTCCTTATGTAAAACCATGCAGTATCCACTTGTTCTGTTTAAATGATTGCTTCTTGGTCCATGTACAGGTTCCTTATGAGCAAAATTAAGTGTTCTAGAATTTCCATTCTTTATAGTGTTCCATAATTTTGCAAAAATTCCATAATTTGTTATGATCCACATATTTAAATGCCTTTGCATAGTCAATAAAATTCAGGTAAACATCTGTGATAGTTGGAGATGTGTGTCAACTTGACTAGACCATGATTCTGAGTGGTTTAAGCAGTTGTGATGTGGTTATTCCCATGATGAGATCGGATGTACATGTTTTGAGCAGCCAATCCATTGAAAGGGAGTTTCCCTAGGAGCGTGGCCTGCTTCCAATATATATATGGACATCCTGGGAAAAAGACGGACACTTCGGTGAATCTGGATCCTGCTGTGCTGCCTACTGCTGTCCCTGAGTGAACAATCCACCATTCAGCCTGATGATCTTGGATTCATCATCTGTTGGAGTCAACAGCCGGTACACTACCTGCCAACCTTGAGCTCATCAGCCCCTGCAGCTGCATTAGTCAGAAACAGCCTCCAGTTTGACATTTGATCAAGGAACTTGGGACTTGCCAGTTTCTATAAGTGTGTGAACCATTTTCCTAAGATGAATTTCTCTCTCTCTATATATATATATAACTTTTACTGGTTTTGCTTTTCCGGAGAACCCAGCCTAACACAATATCTTTCTGATATCCCCAGCTTTCCACCAAGATCCATTTGACATTAGCAATGATATCCCTTGTTCCACATCCTCTTCTGAATCTGTGTTGAATTTCTAGTATTTCCCTGTCATTGTACTGTGCAATTGTTTTTGAATTATTTTCAACAAAAATTTACTTGTATGTGATATTAATAATGTTGTTGGATATTAATAATATTATTCAATAATTTTTTTCATTCTACTAGATCACTTTTCTTTGGAATGGGCACAAATATGGATTTTTTCCAGTTGGTCAATCAGGTAGCTGTCTTCCAAATTTATTGGCACAAACAAATGAGCACTTCTAGTGTTGCATCTTATTTGTTGAAACATCTAATTGGTATTCTTTCAATTCCTGGAGCCTTGTTTTTTGCCAATTCTTTCAGAGCATCTTGTACTTCTTCCTTCAGTACCTACCATTGGTTCTTGATCATATGCTACCTCTTAAAATGGATGAACATCCACAAATTCTTTTTGATACAGTGACTCTGTGTATTCCTCCCATCTTCTTTTGATTCTTCCTGCATTATTTAGTATTTTGCCCATAGAATCCTTCAATATTGCAACTTGATAGTTGAATTTTTTTTTTCAGTTCTTTCAGCTTGAGAAATGCTAAGTGTATTCTTCCCTTTTGCTTTTCTAATTCTAGGTCTTTGCACATTTCATTATAATACTTTACTTTGTCTTCTTGAGCCAACCTTTGAAATGTTCTCTTCACCTCTTTTATGTCATCATTTCTTCTATTCATCTTAGCTGCTGTACATTCAAGGGTAAGTTTTACAGTCTCTTCTGGCATCCATTTTGATCTTTCTTTCTTTCCTGTCTTTTTAATGACCTTCTGCTGTTTTCATGTATGGTGCCCTAGATGTCTTTCCACAATTTGTCTGATCTTTGGTTATTGATGTTCAGTGAATCAAATCTGTTCTTCAGATGGTCTCTAAATTCAGGTGTGATATACTCAAGGTCATATTTTGGCTCTCATGGATTTGTTTTAATTTTTTTCAGCTTCAACTTAAACTTGCATATGAACAATTGATAGTGTGTTCCATAATGGGCTCCTGGCCTTGTTCTGACTGATAATATTGAGCTTCTCCATTATCTCTTTCTGTCACTGCTCATGTTGTTGAAAAAATGTATTTGTAATGAAAATGTCATTGCTCTCACAAAATGCTATCAGGAAATCTCCAGCATTGTTCCTGTCACCAAAGCCATATTGTCCAACTACCAGTGTTCCTTCCTTGTTTCTAATTTTCACATTACTGTCACCGGTAATTATCAAAGTAAGGTTGACCTTTATGACATGGATGGAGTAAAGCTTTCTGGAGCTTAATTCCCTGATGTAGCAGGACTCAATATGTGAAGAAACAGCTGCCAATGTCCATTAATAATCAGAACATAGGATGTATGAAGTATAAATCTAGGAAAATTGGAAGTCATAGAAAGTGAAATAGAAAAGATAAAGGTTGATTAGTGATCAGTTTCATTAGTGAGTAGAAATGGACTGGTATCAGCCATTTGGAACTAGATGATCATATGGTCACTATATCAAGAATGAGAAATTGAAAAGGAATGGCATCACATTCTTAATCAAAAAAAAACATTTCAAGATCTATCCTGAGGTGCAGTGCTTTTCAGTGATAGAATAGTAGCATAGTGGCTAAATGCACTTGACTGCTAACCAGAAGGCTGGCAGTTCAAACCCACCAGCCACTCCTTGGAAGGAAGGTTGGGCAATCCTACTTCCGTAGTGATACCGCCTTGGAAACCCAAGGAGGGGTGGCTATGAGTCAGGGCCGACTCAATGGCACATAACAACAACAACAACATATACCTACAAAGAAGACGAGTTAATACAATACAACTATTACTCAAATTTACGCACCAACCACTAAAGTTAAAGGTGAAGAAACTGAAGGTTTTTTTTGTTTTGTTTTGTTTTTTTTACCAACTTCTGCAGTCTGAAATTACTCTACTGCAATAATTAGGGGAAATGGCCTCCATGATTGTTTTAAATTTTTTCCTTATGAAATGGCAATACATTAATACAACGGATATTTTTACTACTCTCTAGGAGTAAAAATTTATCATTGTTCTGCATTTGTGCCTGCTGGTTTATTTAACTGTTAATTACATCACCATTTGGGGAATCACAAAACAGTTTAAGACCATATCTGAATCTGATCATAACCATCACCATTATCAACCAATACATTTAAAAATATTTATTACATATCTGTGCAATTTATTGCAAACTATGTTCCTGTTTACTATAGAGTCTCCATGTTTTAAAAATAATCAAAGTGTTAAAACTCTTCTTTGATTGGTGAAGAACCCCCAGGAAGCACAGCAGTTGCTGTAAGATAAAAATCACAGGAAGAGGTGCCACCTCAAAAGAAAAATTTGTGTTTGACTATTATTTGTCATTATATTATTCTATCAGAATGATCAGGCAAATGAATCCACATTCATTTGAGACCTGGTGGCATAGTGCCTAAGGCATTTTACTGCTAACCAGAAGGTTGGTGGTTCAAACCCACCAGCCACTCCACAGAAGGAAGATTGGTCAATCTACTTCAGTAAAGATTTAATGCCTCAGAAACCAATAGCAGGTCACTATGAGTTGACTCAATGGCAGTGAGTTTGGTTTTGGTTTGGTTTAGACTACCTTTTCAATTATTTTCCACCCCCTCCCCTTGTTCTAGATTCAAGAAATTTTACCTGTTTGTCTTGTAAATGCTTGAATCTGCCTTGCTCTTTGTTTCAGAGTTCTCTCTCTGTAAGCAGTGAGCTTCAGGTCCACACTGGGACTGGAGAGATGGAATTCCAGGCCTGTCTTCATTACAGCATTCAGAATACCATCCAGAGTGTTGGCTCTGTCCAGGTTCACTTACCTAGTGACCTAGCTGTGCAGAGTCCTGCCAAGACAGACATCCAGAAGCCATGCTATATCAGTCTACTCATACTCTTTAAAAAAAGTTTGTATCCGGGGGGACCAGCTCCTGGTCAGGTACAATGTGGCAGGTGTCCTGTCACTTCTGATGACATTTCCATTTTGTAATAACTGTGCTTTGATATTAAAAAGCCAGGTTAGTTTTGCATGTTTACACTTGTTTTTTAATTCCAAGAGAGTGGTTCCTTAGAATGTTTTACTACCTATACTTATCTTGGAAGATCATAGTTTCTCAGGAAAATCTTAGCAAAATTAGGTGCCACTGGCTTTCAGTAATTGGACCCACTCAGTATGTCCTGTGAGGACTTTTAAATCCATTGCCATAGAATAAAACAGCAGAAATAGGATGGGGTATGTGATAAAATGATTATGCCAAACATTGTGGTCAATAACCTCTTGAACATGTTAACCTGCATCTGAACTCCAATAAAAAGTTCAAATTGAGTGAAATTTGAGAAGGGAGAACTACTGTGGACTTACTAGGACTGAGTTCTTTTCTTCCACTCTAACCTGAAAGGCTAGGCTGAAACACTAAGAAGGCTACTGGGGCCTCTGGCCATTGAGCAGGAGAGGAAGCCAGAATCAACAGGGGAGGGTAGAATGGAGAAGTTAGGATTGTCCTAGCTACTTGGTGATTTTGTGAACATCTGCTTTACCTTCTACATTTAGAAACTACATGAACAATCCTGGAATCCCTGTGAGTTCCCAGAGAGCAAAATGTGTGTCTTCTAGGTCTCTGTGCCTCAGCCCTACTGGAGTATCTGGCTCACTGAGCACTCCATAAAAGTCTGATGAATGAATGCCCAAATTAATGATGTTCATCTTATTTATTTCTCCATTTTGGTTAAAAAAAATCCTTAAGGTCCTTAGTCTATAAAGCATATGAATATAATTCAACTTAACAAGCAATAAAGAAATGGAAATTAAAATAAAATGGTTTCTTTTTAACTTCCAAAAGTACAATCCTTTTTAAATCAACTTCTGGTGATGTAGTGAGGTAATGAATGAATTAGTTGATGTAACTTTTCTGATAAGCACTTTGTCAGTGGCTACCAGGAGTCTCAAAAATTTGAACCTAAGTTTGCTACATTGGGAGATCTATACCAAGGAAATAAGAAAAAAATTATTAAAAAAGGATATTTTAATTAATTAATTTATTTATTTATTCAAAACAAAATTATTTATGATAACCAAAATGGAAATGTACCTGATTTCAACTTCACTGATTATATACATAAATTATAATACTTCACATACAGCCAATTAAAATTATTCAAATAAAGAACTTTTAGGGACTTTGGAAATTTTTATGCAAAGATATAGGACACTGAGTTGTATACCTAGTATGATTTCATTGAATAGAAAAAGTTTAAAAGGCAACATCACCAAATATGATTTCTTAGCAATGAGATTACAGGCAACTTTTCTACATTATTCTGTATACCTTCCTATAAAATTTTCCAAAATGAACAGATATTTCTTTTCATTTAAATTTTTAAAGTGAAAAATTGAATAAAAGAATACTGTTTAAAACTTGAAAAATTATTAATTATAGTAAGAGAATTAAATTCATCTCAAATCCTGCTATGCTAACTAGTAAAACTCATTGCTTATTTCATTTACCCTCTAATTTTTTTCGTCACATATATACATTGTCCCAAGTGATGTGACCACATTGATAATATGTCCACACATATAATTTGCACAGTGTGCTAGGAAAACAATGTGCGAGGGCTTGGACAGTTGGCAAAAAAAGTAGAGTGTGAATTATTTGTGTAACACTATAGAACTTTTATATAATTCTAATGGTAAGTATCACTCCACTGATTTACTGTTTTTTTCTCATTTACATCAATTATTTGTCATTCTTTGCTCTGAGATGGTCTTTGTCTCCACAGGTTGGTGGAGTTGTGAGTCTCCGCCTCTACAACTGCTCTAGCAGACAGCCCTTCAGCAGACGCTGGCTACAGACACCTGTTACTGTAGAGTTTGGGGAGGAAGATGACCTAGTAAGGAAATCTCCAATCATCTCTGCTTCATTGAGGCTGCACTGGCTGTTGTTAGTTAACACATCACTTTTCCAAAGACAAATCTTGTTTAACTTGTTTCTGTTTGCTGACAGGATAATAGGAGAAATAAAACAACATATGTATTATCTCGGGATAAAATTAATTTTCATCAGTTCATTGGGCTTTCTGAAAATTCCCAGGAATATCTACAAATAAGAATCAAATTTTCTAAGACCATCACGAGAGCCTTTCCCATAATGTTGCTAGTAAGGTATGTTGTCAGATGATAGCATCCATGGTAATGGGATCAGAGCATAAGATGTCATCCTTAAGAATGTTTGTGGAAAAAAACTAAGTGAATTTAATTGTATTTCTAAGGCAGTAATGAGGCTCATTACCTAAAGGAATTATGTATATTACTGTTTAGTGAATGAGACCCTATTTTGTTTTTTTAAGAGTTATTTCTGCCTATTAAGTGTACTAGAGTGAGAAACATCTGAATTGTTAGTAGTAATATATATAGTCTTATTTAAGAATCTCATTCTCTCTCAAGGTGATTTCTTAATCTAACTGCTTTGTGTTTACTCTCTTTCATTTGTCAATTCCCAACTCTGCTAACAGGTCATCATAAAGAGTTAATGCAAACAGATATGTATATGTTATAGTGTCCCACCTCCTTAACCACATGGAGCTTGACCTATTCCTTTTGTTCTTATAAACTATTCCAGCTTAGTTGTTCTTTTTTTTTTTTTTTAACTAGAAGTCAGGTTTTATGAAATGGGTAATGAAAAGTTTTACATAGAAATATTGATTAAAAGACTCAAATGGTACAGTGGAATAAGAGTATTGGCCTCTTTTAATCTCATGCTGCCTCTTTGCAGTGAAAATAATGTTTTGTGCAAATTCATATGACTAAAGTTTTTGAGAAAACAAACAAAACTAGACATCACATCTTCATTTTCATCTCCTAGATTCTCAAAGAAACCTACTCCCTCTGATTTTCTGGTGAAACACATATACTTATGGGATGAGCAGATTGCACAGATTTATGTACCTGCTGCTTCACTGAAAGGTCAGTGGGAGGGAAGAGGTCTTTCCATTTTCAGTTCTACTCATGTGTTGAAGATATGTTATAATGCATTTACATAATGGCATTTTTCTTTATTCTTTATGAAAACAATAAAATAATATCTTTGCCTGCTTGTGTACAAGCTAATGATAGAAAATGCAGTACAATCCTTGCACTGAAGTGGGTACTGGGGGAAAATATGCTCCTTATGAAGTCCAACCCCAATCCTTCCAGCCACTGCATTTCCAGCCCCCTGCATTACCACTCCCCAAAATTCCCATCACCCCAGCATATGGTTCCTGGAGTGTCCAGCTCTTTCCTGCATTTTTGCCTTTGTGCTGCTCTCACCAGTGCCTTCCCTTTCATCAGTGACCTCTGCTGATCTCAAACCCAACTTTCACCTCCTTTGCAGGCCTCCCTTGATGCCCAGAATAGTTTATTTATTCATCTTGGCTGCAAAAGCACCTCCTGCGTGCCCCTCTGATTTACTGCCTTTACTCCCCACTGGAGGTCAGGGACCCATATTCCCTAGGCTTTCTTTGTGTCTTAGGTATGAATAGATATTACAGGACCTCTTCTGACTCTTCTTTACCATCAGTGTACATGGACAGGGTATCAGCTCTGGGAGGGCAGATGTGCACTTGGTTCCAGGTTGCCCCTGACAGATAGTTTGGCCTGGTTGTTTAGTCTCCTGTGCCTCAGTGTCCTCCTCAGGAGCTCTGAACACTTGAGTGAATTCAAATGAGAATAATAAGTACAGATATTCCACACTATTCTTCAAACTGTCAGATAAATGGACCAGCCCTGTAGTCTCCACCTTCTACTGAAGTGTAGTACTGCCCTGAAATGTAGTATTCTTCCTCTGAAAACTAATCACCTCATGTTGTTGTTGTTGTTATATGCCGTCAAATCGGACCCAACTCATAGCGACCCCTCCTTGGGTTTCCAAGGCAGTATCACTACAGAAGTAGATTGCCCCATCTTCCTTCTGAGTAGTGGCTGGTAGGTTTGAACCACCAGCCTTCTGGTCAGCAGTCAAGTGCTTTAGGCACTACACTACAAGAGCTCCCAATCACTTCATAGCAACTCATTTATTTTAAAAATCAAGTATGTTGCTACTCAAATTCAAATTCTTAATGGGAATTTTGTTCTTTATCCAGTAACTTTTTTATAAAAGAATTTAAATTGAGAGAAAAGTATTAAAAAAATATACAAAAAACACTGGTATACATTTCTTCTAGATGTATGATTTGTTGACATTTTTCCACATTTGCTTTAACTGTTTGTGTGGTTTTTAGGGGAGCTAAGCCATTTAAGAGAAAATTGTGGACACCATGATACTTCACTTCTGAATATTTTAACATGCATCAGGGACATTTTTCTATGTAACTCAGTAGCATTATCACACTTAAAAAAATTAATACTCACTCAAAAATAGCATCATCTATGTACTCCATAATTAAATTTTTGCAGTTATCCCCTCCAAAATGACTTTTATGTTATTGGTAGTGTTGTTAGGTGTCATTGAGTTGGCTCTGACTCATAATGACCCCATGTACAATAGAACAAAACACTGCCTAGAACCTCACCAAGTTCACATTCCTTGCTATACTAGAGGCCATCATTGTAGCCAATTTGTCAATCTGTCTCATTGAGGGCCTTCCCCTTTTTTGCTTACCCTCCATTTTGCTAAGCATGATATCCTCCTCCAAGACATGGTCTCTTCTGGCAACATGACCAAAGTAGGTGAGACAAAGTCTGGCCATTCTTGCTTCCAAGGAGCATTCTGGCCCCATTTTTTCTGGGACAGATTTGTTTGTTCTCTGGCAGTCCATGGTGCTTTCAGCATCCTTCGTCAATACCACAACTCAAAAGCATCAACTCCTCTTTGGTCTTTCTTATTCATTGTCCAGCATTCACATTCATATGAGGCTATTGCAAATACCATGGCTTGGGTTAGGTACACCTTTGTCTTCAAATAGTTATCTTTACAGCACTTTAAAGAGATCTTTTGCAGCAGATTTGCCCAGTGCAAAATGTCCTCTGATATCTTGACTGCTGCTTTATTGGTGTTGATTGTGGAACCAAGTAATATGAAATCTTTGACAACTTCAATCTTTTCTCCATTTATTGTGATGCTGTTGTGAGGATTTTAGCTTTTTTTAGGTTAAGGTATAATCTATACTGCAGACTGTAATCTTTAATCATCATGAGTAAGTGCTTCAAGTCATCTTCACTTTCAGCAAGCAAGGTTGTGTTGCCTGCATTTTGCAGGTTGTTAATGAATCTTCCTCCAGTCCTGATGCCCCTTTCTTCATATAGTCCAGCTTCTTGGATATTTGCTCGGCATAGATTGAAGATGTATGGTGAAAGAATACAATGATCATGCACTCCTTTCCTGATTTTAAACCATGCAGTAAGTATCCCCTTGTTCTGTTCGAACAACAGTCTCCTGGTCTATGTACAGGTTCCTGATGATCACAATTAAGTGATCTGGAATTCCTATCCTTCTCAATGTTATCCATAATTTGCTATGTTCCACACAGTCAGAATGCCTTTTCATAGTCAATAAAACACAAGTAAACATCTTTCTCATATTCTTTGCTTTCAGCCATGATCCATCAGCAATATCCCTTGTTCCATGTCCCCTTCTGAATCCAGCTTCCATTTACAGAAGTTCCCTGTCAATATACTGGTACAACTGTTTTTGAATTATCTTCAGCAAAATTTTACTTGCATGTGGTATTAATGATATTGTTCAATAATTTCCATATTATGTGACATCACCTTTCTTTGGAATGGGTACAAATATGGATCTCTTCCAGTCAGTTGGCCAGGTGGCTGTCTTACAAATTTCTTGGCATAGATGAGTAAGTGCCTCCAGTGTAGCATCTGTTTGTTGAAACATCTCAGTGGGTATTCTGACATTCTGTCAATTCCTGGAGCCTTGTTTTTCACCAATTCCTTCAGTGCAGCCGGCTTTGACTTCTTCCTTCAATACCACTGGTTCTTTTTGTATGTGTGTGTGATTTGGGTAAAAGTTTATAGAGCAAATTCATCTTCCATACAGCAGTTCACATATACTTTGTCACATGGCATTGACTGTAATCTCCCACAATGGAACTGCTCTCCTCCCACTTCCTTCCCATAGCCACCTCTTTCCTGTGTCATTCCCTCTCATGCACTTCTGACCCTGAAGCTATCTCCCTGTGCATACGCAGCCCTTCTATTCTCCCATGATTGATCTTTCCAAGGAGTGTATCTACCTAGTATAAATGTTCACCTCATATGACTGTCTTTTGTTTGGCTGGAAGCCATAGGAGTGGGTTCAGTTCTAGACCTGAAGAGCAGCTAGGGGCCATAGTCACAGGGGTTCCATCAGGATCTATCAGACCAGCAAACCTGGTCCTTTTTTTTTTTTAATGATTTTGAATTTTGTTTCACATTTTTTTCTCCTACTCTAACAAGGATCTTCAACACAGATCCCCCTCCGAGTGGTTGACAGTGGTAGCCGGGCACCATTCAGGTCCTCTGGTCCCATAGTTGTATAGGATGAGATTGCATGGTACACCAGTCCCTTGGACTAATTGTTCCCATGCATCTTTGGTTTTCTTCATTCTTCCCCTTTCTGGATGAGGAGAGATATGATGCATCTAGAAGGCCGCCTGCCAAGCTTCCAAGATTCCAGTTGCTACTTGCCAAAATATGATGTGGAACAATGTTTTTGTGTAGTATGTTATGCCAATTGAGTTTGATGTCCCCTGAAACCATTAAGTACCACTGGTTCTTGCTCATATACCACCTGAAATAGATGAACATTGATCAGTTCTTTTCGGTACAGCGATTCTGTGTATTCCTTCCATCTTCTTTTGAGGTTTCCTGTATCATTCAATATTTTGTCCGTGGAAACTCAATATCACAACTTGAGGCTTATTTTATTCTTCAGTTCTTTCAGCTTGAAAAGTGCCAAGCATGTTCTTCCCTTTTGATATTCTAACTCCAGGTCTTTGCACATTTCATTATAATAATTGTGTCTTCTCAAGCTGCTCTTTGAAATTTTCTTTTCAGCTCTTTTATCTTGTCATTACTTCCATTTGCTTTAACTACTCTCTATTTAAGAGCAAGTTTCAGAGTCTCTTATAACATCTATTTTCATCTTTCCTTCCTTTCCTATCTTTTTAATGACCTTTTGCTTTCTTCATGGATGATGTTCTTGATGTCATCCCACAGTTCATCTGATTTTCAGTCATTGGTGTTCAGTGTGTCAAATCTATTCTTTGGCTCTCATGGACTTGTTTTAATTGTCTTCATTTTCAACTTGAACTTGCATATGAACAATTGATGGTCTGTTCCACAGTCAGCTCCTGGCCTTGTTTTGGCTGAAGATATTTAGCTTCACCATTGCCTCTTTCCACAGATGTAGTCAGTTTGATTCCTGTGTATTTCATCTGGCAAGATACATGTGTATAGCTGCCGTTTCTGTTTTGGAAAAAAGGTATTTGCAATGAATAATTCATTGGTCTTACAAAATTCTGTTCTGTGATCTCTAGCATCATTTCTATCACCAAGGCCATATTTTCCAACTACAGGTGATTCTTTGTTTCCAACTTTTGTATTCCAGTCACCAGCAATATTCAATACATGTTGATTGTATATTTGGTCAATTTCAAACTGCAGAAGTTGGTAGAAATCTTCAATTTCCTCATCTTTGGCTTTGATGGTTAGTGTGTAAATTTGAATAGTAGTAGTATTAACTGTTCTTCCATGTAGACATATGGATATTGGCATTCACAGCATTGTATTTCAGGATAGATCTTGAAACATTTTTTTGTGATGGTGAATGCCATGCCATTCCCCTTCAATTTGACTTCTCTTGCTCTTTATATTCTTATTTAAGTTTAAGTCAAAATTCATATAATGCATTGCATTGCCATGTCTTCATAGTCTCTTTAACATCTACAAAACTCCCTGTATTTTTTTTTCTCATTTTTTCATGACATTAATATTTTTTGTGAGTCCAGGTCTGTTATTGTTTGAATGTCTCACAGTGTGGGTTTGTGTCATAGTTTCATCATATTAAAATTCAGTTTTCACATTTTGGTCAAGATATCACACAGGTAGTGCTGTGAACTTCTCATTGTATGAAATCATGAGGATATAATGTTACACTATAGGTGAAACCTGATAGTGTAGTGGTTAAGTGCTTGGCTGCCATACTAACTGAAAGATCGGCCATTCAAATTCACCATCCACTTTATGGGAGAAAGATGTGACAGTCTGCTTCTGTACAGATTATATCCTTGGAAACCCTATGGAGCATTCTGTTCTGTCCTATAGGGTCTCTGTGATTCAGAGTTGACCCAATGGCAACAAGTTTCCCCCCCCCCCAATGTTGTTGGTGTTGTTGTTGTTATGTGCTGTCGAGTCAACACTGACTCATAGCGAAGCCTCCTTGGGTTTCCGAGACAGTATCACTACGGAAGTAGGATTGCCCAACCTTCCTTCCGAGGAGTGGCTGGTGAGTTTGAACCGCCAGCCGTCTGGTTAGCAGGCAAGTGTCTTAGCCACTATGCTACCAGAGCTCCCAATGGGTGAAGCTAAATCTGGTAATTTGGCATAGAAGAAAGTGTCAGTAACAATATTCCTTCCCAAATACTCTGTCATTCTCAAATGAGCATCTGCATTTGGGAAGCTTTGGCTAGATATGTGTAATTAATATTAATATCTTTGGCTAGATATATTTAATTCATAACTTAAGTGCTTCTAGAAGAGAAAATGACCAGAATTTATAGGTTCTGTGCTCTTTCCAATTCTTATCATGCTCTTTCAATCCCTGCCATATCCTTGGTTTCTGTCTGATACTTTGATACCTGTCTGCTACTGTATCTGCATTTGAAATAAACAATGCTTTTTTTTTTGCTAAATTTAGGTTGTCTTATATATTTATTCTATTTTTAGATGTCAGCTTGGGTTACTTGACCTTATTAGATGCTGACTATGACAGAACACCTCCCAACAAATATTTAGTTAAAGAAGTGAACTACACAGTGGATTTCCAGTGGATCCAGTGCTTGTTTTGGGATAAGAACAAGTGGAAATCTAACACCTTTCCTCCACAACCAGGAACTTTTCCAGAAAAGATTAACTGCAGGTATATACATACAGTTCAGAAAGAATTTGGGATTTTAGTCAGTGACTACATTCCCTTCTGCATTTGACCAATTTCCTGGATCCTTTCCTGAATTTTGGCCTCTTACAAAAAGAAAAAGAAAAAAAAAAAAAACAGGGAAAGCAGGGAGAGGACAGAAAAGGCAAAGGGGACCAGAACAGCTCGAGGAGTCAGCCACAGGCACGCAGACCACACCCCACAAGCAGCAAGGCGAGAAAGCAGGGAGAGGTCAGAAAAGGCCAAGGAGACCGGAACAGATCGAGGAGTCAGCCACAGGGACCCAGGTAAGGGTGGTTGGAGAGGTTTCCAAAAGCTAAGGGAGACAAACTTGTCTGTCAGTTTGTACTACTGTGGTGACATGTTGCTGTGAGTCTTGACGCTGTGCCAATGATGTTTCAAACCCAGTGGGGTGCACATGGTGCACAGATATCAACCTGGCTTGCAGACTGAGACAGACTAGGAAGAAGGAAGAGGCCATCCACTTCTCAAAGAATTGGCCAGGGAAAACCTTATGAATAGCAGAGAAACATGTCTGATACATTACTGTCAACTTTATGAATAGTCTGGAAACATTGTCCAATACAGAGGAGGACAATAAGTCACTTAGCTTAGAAAGCTTTCAAAGTAGGACTGGGCAAGAGCTGCATTATCAGAGTAAAACCAGCCTTACCCATATGGATAAGACAAAGCTTTGGAGACCTCCATTTGCTGACGTGGCACCACTCAAATTGAAGAGAAACAGTGGAAAACATCCATTAATAATCAGAACATGAATCTAGGAAAATTGGAGGTTGTAAAAAATGAAATGGAATGTATAAAGATTGATATCCTCAGCATTAGTGAGCTGAAATGGACTGGTTTTGGCCATTTTGAATCAGACAACCATATGATCTACTATGGCGGGAATGACAGTTTAAAGAGGAATGGTGTGGCATTCATCATCTCAAAGGATGTTTCAAGATCTGTCCGGAAGTACAATGCTATAAGTGATAGGATCATATCCATACACCTAGAAGGAAGACCCATTAATATGACTATTATTCAAATTTATGCACCAACCACCAAAGCCAAAGTTGAGGAAATGGAAGATTTTTATCAACTTCTGCAGTCTAAAATTGACTGAACTTGCAATCAGGATGTGTTAATTATCACTGTTGACTGGAATGCAAAAGTTGCAAACAAAGAGGAATCACTGGTAGTTGGAAAATTTGGCCTTGGTGACAGAAATAAAGCTGGAACTCACATAGTAGAATTTTGCAAGACCAACGACTTATTCATTACAAACACCTTTTTTCAAGTACAAAAATGGCAGCTTTACACATGGACTTCACCAGATGGAACACACAGGAATCAGACTGACTACATCTGTGACAAGAGACGGTGGAAAAGCTCAATATCTTCAGCCAAAACCAGGCCAGGAGCTGATTGTGGAACAGACCATCAACTGCTCATAAGCAAGTTCAACTTGAAGTTAATGACAATTAAAACAAGTCCACAAGAGCCAAAATATGATCTAGAATATATCCCTCCTGGAATTAGAGACCATCTATAGAATAGATTTGATGCATTGAACACCAGTGACTGGAAACCAGATGAATTGTGGGTTGACATCAAGAGCATCATCCATGAAGAAAGCAAGAGGTCACTAAAAAGACAACAAAAGAAGAGAAGACCAAAATGAATGACAGAAGAGACTCTGAAATTTGCCCTTGAGTGGAGAGTAGCTAAAGCAAATGGAAGAAATGACAAGATTAAAGAATTTAACCGAAGATTTCAAAGAGCAGCTCGAGAAGACAACGCCAATTACTATAATGAAATGTGCAAAGACCTGGAGTTAGGAAACCAAAAGGGAAGAACATGCTTGGCAGTTCTCAAGCTGAAAGAATTGAGGGAAAAATTTAAGCCTTGAGTTGCAATTGAAATATTCTAAGGGCAAAATATTGAATGATGCAGGAAACATCAAAAGAAGATGGAAGGAATACAGAGAGTCACTGTACAAAAAAGAACTGGTTGATCTTCATCCATTTCAGGAGGTGGCATATGATCCAGAACCAATGGTACTGAAGGAGAAAGTCGAAGCTGCAATGAAGGAATTGGTGAAGAACAAGCCTCCAGGAATTGAAGGAATACTCGTTGAGATATTTCAACAAACAGATGTCACACTAGAGGCACTCACTTGGTTATGCCAAGAGATTTGGAAGACAGCTACCTGGCCAACTGATCGGAAGAGATCCATATTTGTACTCATTCCAAAGAAAGGTGATCCCACAGAATGTGGAAATTATTGAACAATATCATTAATATCACATGCAAGTAAGATCTTACTGAAAATAATTAAAAAACCTTTGCAGCAGTATATTGACAGAGAACTTCCAGAGGTGCAAGCTGGATTCAGAAGAGGATGTGGAACAAGGGATATCATAGCTGCTGTCAGATGGATCTTGGCTCAAGGCAAAGAATACCAGAAAGATGTTTACTTGTGTTTTATTGACTATGCAAAGGCATTTGATTGTGTGGATCATGACAAATTATGGATAACATTGAGAAGAATGGGAATTCCCGAGCACTTGATTGTACTCATGAGGAACCTGTACCTTGACCAGGAGGCTGTCATTCAAATGGAACAAGGGAACACTACATGGTTCAAAATCAAGAAGGGAGTGTGTCAGGGTTGTATCCTTTCCCCATACTTATTCAATCTATATGCTGTGCAAATAATCTGAGAAGCTGGACTATATGAAGAAAAACGTGGCAACAGGATTGGAGGAAGAATCATTAACAACCCGAGATACACTGATGATACAATTTTGCTTGCTGAGAGTGAGGATGACTTGAGACACTTACTGATGAAGATTGAAGAATACAGTCTGCAGTATGGATTGCATCTCAATATAAAGAAAACAAAAATCCTCACAACTGGACCAGTAAGCAGCATCACGATAAATGGAGAAAAGATTGGGGTTGTCAAAGAATTCATGTTGCTTGGTTCTACAATCAATGCCAAAGTAAGCAGCAGTCAGGACATTAGACAATGTGTTGCACTTGGCAGATCAACTGTGAAGGAACTGTTTCAAGTGCTGAGGAGCAAGGATGTCTCCTTGAGGGCTAAAGTGTGCCTGACACAGGTCATGATATTTCCAGTTGCCTCATATGCATGTGAGAGCTGGACAGTGAATAAGGAAGACTGAAGAAGAGTTGATGCTTTTGAGTTGTGGTACTGGCGAAGAATGCTGAAAGTACTATGGATTTCTAAAAGAACTAACAGATCTGTCCTGGAGGAAATGCATATAAAATGCTCCTTAGAAGCGAGAATGGCCAGACTTCGTCTCACCTATTTTGGTCATGTTGTCTGTCAGAAGGGACCATTCCCTGCAGAAGGATGTCATGCTTGGTAAGGTGGAGGTTTGACGACAGAGGGGAAGACCTTTGACGAGATGGAGTGACATGGTGGCTGCAGCAATGGGCTAAGTATAACAGGGATCATGTAGCTGGTGCAGGATTGGGTGGTGTTTCATTCTGCTGTGCATGGGGTCGCTATGAGTTGGAAATGACTTGATGGCACCTAACAACAACAACAAAAAGAAAAAGGAGCAACCTTGGTTTATACAACTCTTTTTGTGCCTTTTTTTATACCTATTATGTTAGTTGTCATCAAGTCAGTTCCAATTCATGGTGACCCCTTATGCAATGGAATGAAATGCTGCTTAGTCCTGTGCCATCCCCAGCATCAGTTGAAGATCAGACCACAGTGATCCACTGTTTTCATTGGCTGATTTTTGGAAGTACATCACCTTTCTTCCTTGTCCATCTTAGTCTAGTAGTGCACATGTTACCACTATAGTGAATAGTGGTTACACATGAGGTACACTGGCCAGGAATCAAACCTGAGTATCCCACATGGGAGGCAAGAATTCTACCGTTGAATCACCCTGCCTGTAAATGCCTCTGAAACCTTCTTATTGTCATATCTTGTATGCAAGTCTTGGTTGTCCTCTTCTGTTGTAGCCTCCCTGGTGCAGGGTCTGGATTATATAAGTGCTGTTTGTACTCACTGTTTCCCCATGGGGACTGGTATGTAATTGGTGTTTAGCAAATATCTATTGAAGGAAAGCATCAATAGATGGATGCTAGTGCTCTGGATTGGTAGGTTGTATGATTGTAGAAGTTCTGGTACTCCTTAGGAGTGTGTAGTTTGTAGCTAGGGGATGGGGACCTCTGGTGAGGGGGTTTGTTAATGTGAATTTTGTGATACAGGAGAAGTCTCTACACTAATTATGCACAACCTTCTTGGGGTTTTTGTATATATCATCCATGTCACTAAATTAGAAATTCTTTGTTATCTAGCCTTCTGACAGTTCTATCAGAAGCTCAGGTCATTCTTTTTTATAAATGTATTTTCATTATAATAGATAATTATTATACATATTTAGAAATAGAAATAATAACTTCCTTCTTAAGGAAAATTAATCTATAAAGAATCATATTTCATGGTTGCCTTTTAGGAGTCCAGTATGTCCATAGCACATTATACACTAATGTGATTTATAAATCATTCATTGATTTGCTAATGACTTATTCTTAAATTTACATAATGCCATGTCTAGGAACACACTGGAACCTACTGGTAATGGTACAGTGTTTTACTTCAATATTAAATAATTCACTAAACTATTAATCCATTACTCATTCCCTCTTATATTCCAATCTCTGCTAAGCAGGAGTACAAAATGAATACTGATGGGGCTTCAGCAAAAGTGAATGGAGAAGGGATGTTGTTGTTGTTAGGTGCTGTTGAGTCGCTTCCGACTCATAGCGACCCCATGCACAGCAGAACAAAGGAGAAGGGATAGGTTTTCAAAAAAAATCCTAATTGATAGTGATTGTCATGGTAGTAGCTACCAATTATAATATAGGCAGTTGGGAAAGAAGTTAACAGAGTTTGACTAATTGACGGGGATCAATCTGCAGCTAAATTGCACTTTGAAGCTGAGACAGTCTAATTCTAAACATTCAAGTTGAACTGTGAAGAGGGCTCTAATAGAGATATACAAGGAAGTCTAGAGAGAGACACCTAGAGTCTCATATAATGAAAAAGAAAGTGTTAGTTGGAACTATGTGCTCAAAGGCTCAGAGGGAAAGATGTCAGGTATATCTTGAGAACAGTGTCATTTGTTCCTAACTTAAGTTTTTGATACATTCCTTGAACTGAGTCTAAATCATAAAGTTATAATTATTGGAATTCATCTTTCTTTTTCTAACCAATGCACAATTGTCTTGTAAACAATTGCTGTTACCACAGTTCAGTCCATCTTCCTAATTGGTATTTCTCTTTCAGCTATAATCACCTCACAACATTCACACTTGTAAGAAGGAAGCTGAATGCTAGTTTTGAAAGGAGCGACATTTCTAAGTTACAGAGGTAAGTTCCATTTTCTAAATCAAGACAAAAATAAATTAGATACTCAAGTTTAATTCAGCAGATGCTTGAAATCTGTTATTATAATTTTATTTTGTAATACTCATAATTAAAAATAACTATCTTTAAATATTAAACAGTTATCTATATTTATCTACCTATACTTAACATTCACTGAAAGAAGATGTATAAACTCGAAAATGTCAGCATAATTTTTTTACTTTTAAGCTTAGTTTTAGTTCAGTGTAAATTTGGTTAATCATTATCAATTGGGTTATTAATAGTTCCCTCTTCCTCTCTTAAATGTCTCACTTTGGATGATAAATTTAAAATATTCACCCTGCTTGTATAGTCATTGTTTATGTAGAACAAATATATTTATATTCTGGAATATATGTAAACAGAATGTAAGCTCTAAGCAGACAGGAACTTTCTCTGTCTTATTCATCAGTGTAGCCCCACACTTAATAGAGTCCTTGGTGTGTAGTTAGTACTTAATAAATATTTCCTTAATGAATATTGATGGCAGAGTCTGCATTTTCTCATGAGTGTTGAGTGTTAAGTTTTTCTCACTCATATTTACATAATAGGGAATTGTACCTTACTTTATTATTTAATAAATCATCAAAGAGTTGACTGTTTTGTAGACTAGTAAGTGGATCTGGTCATTACAAAGACAGATATGAATCATTAATGCTACCAGTGCTGGTCTCAGTTACGGTCACCAGCAGTCCACCTGTCTACCCAGGAATGGATACTATTGAGGGTGCAAGCCATTGGGTGGGCCCATGCTGGGACATCCAGCCAAAGGCAACACTTGAAGTCATGTGGGGATAGTTGCATTCTGGGAGCTACAGCTAGAGTTCAGGAGGTTCCAAGGGCTCAGTTATGCCGAAGAAGAAGGGAAGGTTGGATCTAGTTGATCCGTGAGCACCTTGCCAAACTGACAAGGTGGGGCTCAGAAAAAGGATCTGTCCTCATGGGGAAGAAACATTCCAGGCAGGGCAGGAAAACCAAGACAAGAGCCTAATCTTTAGATGGAGCCAAAATGGGCAAGGGACAATAATGCAATGTGGGCATCCAACGTCTATCACTTAATGTCCCATCAAATGTCCGTAAGACTCCATTCCAGGCAGAACACCATATCAAGCTTATAGTGCCAGCACAATTGATGGGACTGCAATCTGTGGGTCTGCAGCAGTGCAGTGATCTGTCCTACAAACCAGAACTGGTGTCTGGGAACAGAAGGCTGCAGATAGAGAGAAAGCAGTTCTATTTGCAAGGGCAGATGAGATGCCGAGTCTGGGTACCAATAACATCTGATTGCCTGTTCTACTGGGAGGAAAAGAAGGGAGGGAGAGAGGAAAGCAAAAAATACTTATTGTACCTGCCCGTTTGAGGAATTTTATATAAATTACTTAATCTTTATAATAACCTACTGAGATTGTATTTTTGCATATATTTCACCAAGGAACTTCTTCAAAGAGAGGCAGTGATTTGTCTAGAATGGCATGGCTCTCAGATGTGGAAGTTGGGTCCATCAGAAGATTCCTTTGATTCCAGAGTCCATGCTATTGGGTGCTGGTCATTGGGCCACAGGGACACCATATGTCTTCAAAAGCCCTTTTGATTCAGTCTCTAGCACTTCTCCTCTAAAGGGGCTCAAAACCAGACAAGACGCTCAGAGGAGGACAGATGCCACTCCACTCTTTCCAGTTTTTTCTTCATGGCCACTATCCTCAACAAAAATCACCTCTCTTTCTCTCCCCCTCCTGCTTCATTTTCTCTCCCATTTACAAAGCAAGAATTTGAGTAAAGAGGATCAGAGGGGGCTTAGTTATGTGTGTGGGTTGGGGGCAGTCAGTCAGTTTTTTTGTGTTTATTTTCATGATTAATTTACTGTTTATTTCTCTCATTTTATTTACAGTTGCCCAGAAAACAAGATTCCCATTATTTTTATTGTGCTTTTTATGATTCTTTATGCATTTTTGGTTACTAAAAGCAAACAAGTAGATCATCATGAAAAAAATAAAAGTGGTTACATTTTCCTGCAAGAAAGCACCTCACCAGACCAACAGTTATATGCAATAGTTATTGACACAGGCTTTCGCGCTCCAGCCCAACTGACTGCAAAGGTAACCATGGGCATCTAGAGAGATGCAACTTGGCTATGTCTGGAGACCGTTAGCAGGTGTGAGTAAGGGCAGCAGAAACGCACAATTTGAAAGTCTAACAAAATTGCTGAAGGTATGATTAAGATAAATACATCAAAGGTGTCCTATATAATAGTAATAAACAATTAGGGGACATAATAGAAAACAAGATCCTCTTTATCACAGCCACAAAATGATGATGTGTCTAGAAATAAATCCACCAGTTACCAGACCATCAGAGAAAATTTACCAAGTACATAAAGAAATTAAGCAATTAAAGATCTATATTTTTCATGGACAGAAAAATTAATTTTCTTGTGTTGATTTTCCTGAAATTAATGTGTATGGATATAATGATATTAATAGTAGAAAATGTGGATTGGGCTTTACTACATGACATTTTATTAATCCTCAAAGTATCCTATATGTAAGTTCCACTTTACAAATGAAAAACTAAGGCATAAAGTGATTAAATTCAATGAAATGCCAATCAAGTTCAATGATGTTTTATTGAACTTGGAAAACTAATTCTAAAATTCATTTGGAAAATTAATTTCCAAGAATAGTCATGAAGAGAAGGACAGGGCAGGCACTTCCTCAACAAAATGCCCAGGCTTTCTTTGCAGTGATGGAACTAGATAGTGTAGAGTTAGTTGTCAGAGAACTGATCACTAGATTCATGGAACAAATTGGAGACTAGCGAACCAACATAGCCAAGTGAGTAAGCCTTCAAGGCCAGAGGGAAAAAGATGGGCTGTTCAATAAAATGTTTTGAGACAATGCTTTCCTTGTGTGAAAAAGTAACATTAGATCTTCATTTTTCATTATATCCAAAAATAAATTCAAAAAGTTAAAGAACTAAATGTGAAAAACCAAATTGCAAAGTATTGAAAGGCAACATACAGGGAGGTAGTCCCTGGGTGACAAAAGTCCAACTTACATACAACCCATAGTTACAAACCAACCCCCATAAAGCCTACTATGTTAAAAATTTGAGGTACATACAATGGCTTGTAATAACAAACATGCTACTTTGTGACATTCATCAAAACATTATTATTATTTCTGTATTATTATGTTAAAATGTTCCAGTGTATCTGGAAGTGTTTCTTTAATACCATTTATGCATAGAAACATACACTATATACTAAGACAAACATTTCACTAACTGACATTAGATATGAACCATACCTAACATTTTCAACTTCTGTACAAATTCAACTAAAGACAGACTTAGGAATGTAACTGATTCATAATCCAGGTACTGCCTATATACTTCAGGAGAAGGAATGATTTAAAAACAAGAAATAAACATATACCTTTCTCACATGAGAGACTGATAAACTATATCAAAACTATAAATTTGTGTATAAAAACAGACACCAGTAAAGGGTGACAATCCTAGTCCTTCCTAGACTGGGAATGCGTGTTACAGAGTAAGTTGTGCTGACATTGGGGTGCAGTATGCCCACCTTGCACCCTGGCCCATCCCCAGTGTCTGACAAGCTGCTTCAGAGACTTTCCTCCTACTGAAGGGAGGAGGATCATCCACACACACTGTTGTAGGTGTTCTCTGGTCTACAGGAGAAAAGGGAACATCCTAGAGAATCTGATTTGGGCTATAGCTTTTCTAGATCAAATGTGTAAAAACTACTTCCCTGTCCTTCTCTGTGCCACATCACCCTCCACCCTTGATTCCACACTGTGGCACACAGTGCTCTTGAGGGTGGACTTACAGAGGGAAATTGGAAGAAAATGTAAGGAAGTCCCCAATTCAGCACAATCTAGCAAATACTTGAACTTTCACCCCTGTGTCTTTGTTTTGTAGGTTTACATTGTTTTATATGGTAAAAATGGACTTTCAGAAACAAAAGAACTCTATTGTCCAGAGAAGCCCCTATTTGAAAGAAATTCCAGGCATACCTTTATACTGAGGTACTTTGAAATATTTTGACTCCATAATTTGGGAAAGAGCGACAGTTGGAATTAGTGTATCTTTGTTACAAATCCAAAATTGTAGAAATACATAGTATTACTTTCTAATGGGGAGCATCAAAATACATACAATCAATTTTATACTTTAAAGTTTGTTGTTTGGAATAGATTAGTATGTTTATATGAAGAGACAAAAGAAGAAGAGAGGGAGAGATTGAATTATTGATGCTACATGCTAGTAAAAGTTTATAAATCATGGCATTTTCTTTGCCATTCAACTTCCTTAAATTACTTAAATTCATCCCAAGTTCAGAATAGCAAGGACATATACCATCACAAAATGGTGACTTGGGGCCAGAGGGATAATTTATCAAGATATGAGTACAGCACTTGATATTTTTTATAAAATATGTAAGTAATGAACTAGAATTTTTCTTTTAGAATATATTGTTTATAAGATTGATTTATTTAGACTTTTACATCTCCATTAACAGAACAAAAGTTAAGTCAGACTAATTCAACTAGATACAAATTAATGAGATTTTGGTGAATTTGATAAAGGGAAACTAGTAGGTATTAAGGACCTGTGCGTACAATCACTGTTATTGGGGCTTTGTGACCCCTTGTTGTGATGTGATTAGAGGGTTCTCCAAGAATTAATCGTCCACCCCATGGATGTCCACAGTCCAGAAGGCCTGTACATACCACTCAGCATGATAATTGTTTATTATGTGTCTGACACACATGAGGCCACCAAGAGCCACCGTCTACTCCACAGCAACTGGTTTTATATGTATGATATGCCCCGCTTAGACTAAATATGCCTTAAGTGCTAGACAGCCCAGCACACACTGGGTAATGAAGCACTATTGTGTATATCCTCAGTGTTCCTGGTCATCTTGGCCCTCTTTGGAAGATCCGTCTTTGGCACAACAATTGTGGTCCTTCTCCGGGCTGGTATATCAGCCACCTGCTGGTAAAGGAGCTGCACACTGGGCAAAGCTGGTGCTTCCCTGCAGAGTGCTGGCTTGCTGCAGGCCAAGGGGATGGAAGGGTAGAACGGGAGCTCATCCCTCTACACCAAGGCCTTGGCTTCTGGAAGGTAGGCCGAGACAGAGGAGACCTTCCTACAGTGCATACTCATCTCACTTGCACACTCCACTCTTTAGCACTGCCTCTTTCACTGCTGTTACTTTTAAAACTTTTCTAAAATTAAGTTTGTTATTTATTTTCTTAGTTAGTTATCAATGTACTGGTATCTTAAATGACACAGACATTAAGTGACCATCCAGGAATGGATTAATAGCCTTCCCAATTATTGAATATTTCAGTGGTGTTTTTCTTCTTGTAAGTATAATAACACTTATGAAAGTTGTGGTTGCTAGAGGTGTGTGTTGTCCAAAGGCATCTAATTAAAGACTCTTGGAGGCCTCTGTATATATCTTGAACAACCAAAATAACTGATGAATAGAAAATAGACACGATCAGGGATGAGAGGGTAGAGGATAGTGAAGAGACAAAACCAAACAGTGTTTCTTTGCTATTCATAAGGTTTTCCCTGGCCAATTCTTTCAGAAGTGGACGGCCTCTTCCTTCTTCCTAGTCTGTCTCAGTCTATAAGCTGGGCTGTTACCTGTGCACCAGGTGCATCTCGCTGGGTTTTAAACACCAGAGGCTCAGCCTCAAAACTCACATCTACATGTCACCACAGTAGGACAAACCGACAGACAAGTTTGTCCTGCTGTTGGTGACCTCTTGTATCACCCCCACCTGGGTCCCTGTGGCTGACTGTTCCTCTGTCTGGCTTCCTGGCTTTTAATCCCCTTTCTCCTGCTTTTCTGGCCTGCTTCTTTGGGCGTCCCTGAGTTGTCTCTCCTCACCTGTAACCCTGGGGCTGACTGATCTTCTGTCTGGGTTCAAGGCTTTTATCCCCTTTCTCCTGCTCTTCCGGCCTGCTACTCTGGGCAGGCCTGAGTTGTCTCTCCTCACCTGTAACCCTGGGGCTGACTGCTCTTCTGTCTGGGTTCAAGGCTTTTATCCCCTTTCTCCTGCTCTTCCGGCCTGCTACTCTGGGTGTCCCTGCGTTGTCTCTTCTCACCTGTAACCCTGGGGCTGACAAAAAAGACAAAAGTTACCCATAATCTCACAAACCATGAACCTTTTTATTTTTTCATGTTCCCATCTAATCTCTCCTTCTATACAAATGTATTTTATATGTCTGTAATAATAATGCTTGTGCATTTCATATTTTCTAATTTCACATTTTAGAGTAAGTTTCTTTATGCATTTTTTTTAAAAAAAATTACTGTGATCTGGGTGAAAGTTTACAGATCAAATTCATTTTCCATACAGCAGTTCATACACATTTTGTCTTATGACATTAACTGCAATTCCCCACAATTTAACAGCTCTCTTCCCACTTCCTCCCCATAGTTACTTCTTCCTTGTATCCTTCCCTCCCATGCACTCCCACCCCACAAGCTGTCTCCCTGTGCAAATACTGCGCTTCTGTTCTCCCATGATTGATCACTCCTAGGAGTGTATCTATCTGATGTAAATGTTCACCTCATATACCTGTCCATTGTTGGCTGGAAGCCACAGGAATGAGTTCAATTCCAGACCTGAAGGGTGACTAGGGGCCATAGTCTCAGGAGTCTCACCAGGCTCTATCAGACCAACAAACCTGGTCTTTATTTTTTTATTTTTTTATGATTTTGAGTTTTGTTCCACATTGTTCTCCCACTCTATCCAGTATCTCCTGAACTGATCCCACTTTGAGTGGTTGACAGTGGTAGCCAGGCACCATGTAGTTCTTCTGGTCTCATGGTCATATAGGCTGAGGATCGCATCATCTGCCAGTCCCTTGGACTACTTGTTTCCAAGTGTCTTTGGTTTTCTTCATTCTTCTTTGCTCTGGACGAGGAAAGACCCATCATTGCATCTAGATGATCTCTTATAAGCTTTTAAGATCCCAGCTGCTACTCACCAAAGTAGGATGTAGAACAATGTTTTTGTGCAGTATGTTATGCCAGTTGAGCTTGATGTCCCCTGCGACCATGATCCCAAGCCCATATGTCTAAGTACTTACTCCCTCTGTGTAGCTGGCTGTGGCCAAGAAGCCACGACAACCTTGCCCCTTGTCAGCTCTACTGTACACCTGGAGGTTCTTACAGAGCATATAAATATGCACGTAGAACATCATTTGCTAGCCTTATACTTGGTCATGGGCACACCACCCCTGCCTAGATATACCTGGTCATTCAGCCAGTCCACCCATCTATCCATTTTTTAAAAAGTCATCATTTAAAGACCACATAATGGTTCATTGTCACTATTCTTTACTTAACTATTCACCTATTTGGTTTTTTAAGGTTTTCCCTCATTTAATTCTGTTATAGAGAACATTGTGTTGCTGGTGAATGGTTTCTTAGGCTGCATCACAAACACTGGTAATATATCAATGAATATTCACATTTCCCCCCATTTATATACTTTTTAATTTATACTTGTTAATAAGGAGCTCTGGTGGTATAGTGGATAAGGCATTAGCTGCTCATCAGAAGATCAGTGTTTCAAACCCACCAGCTGCTTCACAGAAGGAAGATGGGGTCATCTACTTCTATAAAGACTTACAGCCTTGGAAAACCAGTTGGGAACATTGTGAGTCACAATCGACGCAATGGAAGTGAGTTTTTTTTTTTTTAATTTAGTAATACATCAACGCATGTAGATGTGCCCTCTGGCTCAATCACCATATATATGCTTCTTCTTCTTCTTGCTAAGTGCCATAGAGTTAACTCCAACTCACAGCAACCCTATATACAACAGAATGAAGCACTGCCTTTTCCTGTGCCATCCTCAAAATTCTTGCTAAGCTTGAGCTTATCATTGCAGCCACTGTGTCAAGCCATCTCATTGAGGGTCTTTCCCTTTTTCATTGATCCTCTGCTTTATAAAGCATGATGTTGTTCTCCAGAGACTGGTCCCCTCAGACAGCATGACCAAAATAGGTGAGACAAAATCTGACCATTGTCCCACCTAAGGAGTATTTGGCTGTACTTCTTCCAGGACATACTTGTTATTTTTTTCTGGCAGTCCATGGTATTTTCAGTATTCTTTGCCAACACCACAATTCAAAGGCATCAACTCTTATTCAGTCTTCCTTATTCATTGTCCAGCACATGCTAGCCAGTTCTTGTAAAGGTATATCCCTTTTATTTTCATTCTGTTAGAACTCTTGCTGGCATTTGCTTCTATGTTCTGCTTGGATTCTATATCAATTCTACTTTTCGTTATTTTTTTCTGTAACAGTCTTGAGAATCAAACATTGTTTGAAGCAAACAGAAACTTTAAAAACTTAGCTCAGTTCCCTAACAGTGTGTCACCCACTCTGTGGCAGACACTATGAGGGGCACTGACATGGACTTGGGGCACAGTTCCACTCTCAGTGCGCTCAAATTTCATTGAACATTAACTGCATTGTTGGAGAACGTAGGAAAATGGGTTTTAAAAAGGTCTAGTAGGAAAATAAATTAAAGGATTGGTTCTGCCAGGTGGGGGTTTGTAAGCAGAGGATCTGAGAGTAAGGCCTCTTTGAACCAGAACTGAAGGCACTTGAAGGGGAGACAGTGGGGAGAAGGAATGTGTGCACAAAAGCTCAGGAGGTCCCAGCAGAATGGCAGGCAGTGCCGAGTCCAGAGCATGGCTAGAGTGTCAAATGAGAGCCACCCACACCTAAAGGCACTCGGCATCTGGAATATATGCAGACCAAGAGATTTTTAAATGACACAATTGGAGTCTCTGCTTAGAAGGTTACTGATTATCAACTAAGATGTTATTTGATGTTAGGTGTTGTTGAATTGGTTCTGACTCATAGTGACCCTATTTACAATGATAAAGAACATTGATGGTTCTATGCCATCCTCATAAACATCGCTGTGTTACATACAGCCACTGTGTCAGTCCATTACAGTGAGGGTCTTCCTCTTTTTCTGCTCTCCCTCTAGTTTACCAAACACGGTGTCTTTTTCAAGGAACTGATCCATCCTGATAACATGTCCAAAGTAGGTGAGATGAAGTCTTGCCATCCTTACTTCTAAGGAGCATTCTAGCTGTATTTGTTTGTTTTTCTGGCAGTCCATGGTATATTCAATTTTCTTCACCAACTCTGCAATTCAAAAGTATTGCTTATTCTTTGGTCTTCCTTATTCATTGTCCAGCTTTTGCATATGTATGAGGCAATTGAAAATAGCATGGCTTGGGTGAGGTACATCTCATTCTTCAAGGTAACATGGTTTTTAGCACTTTAAAGAGATCTTTTGCAGTAGATTTGCCCTATGCAATACATTGTTTGATCTCTTGACTGCTGCTTCCATGGATGTTGATTATAGATCCAAGTAAAATGAAATCTTTGCAACATTAGCATTTTCTCTGTTTATTATGATGTTCCTTATTGGTCCAGTTGTGTGGATTTGTTTTCTTTATGCTGAGGTGTAATACTTACTGAAGGCTGTAGTCATCAGTAAGTGCTTCAGGTCCTCTTCACTTTCAGTAAGCAAAGTTGTGCCATCAGCATATTGCATGTTGTTAATGAGTCTTCTAATTGTGATGCCACTTGCTTCTTCATATAGTCCATCTTCTCAGATTATTTGCTCAACATATAGATTGAATAATGATCAAGTATGGTGAAAGGATACAACTTTTACTCACATCTTTCCTAATTTTAAACCATACAGTATCCCTTTTTTCTGGTTGAATAACTGCCTCTTGGTCTATGTATAGGTTCTGCATCAGCACTAATAAGTGTTCTGGAATTTTCCTTCTTCACGATGTTATCAATAATTTGTTATGGTCCACACAGTCAAATGCCTTTGCCTAGTCAGTAAGTCAACAACACAGGAAACATCTTTCTTGTATTCTCTGCTCTTTCTTAGCCAAGATCCATATGACATCAGCAATGATATGTCTCTTTCTATGTGTTCTTGTGAATCTGGGTTGAATTTCTTGTAGTTCCCAATCAATGTACTGCTACAATCATTTTTGAATTATCTTCAGCATAATTTTACTTGCATGTGATAGTAGTGATATTGTTCGATAATTTCCATATTCTGTTGGATCATCTTTCTTTGGAAGGGCAGAAATACAAATCTATTCCAGTTGGTTGGCCAAATAGCTGTCTTCCAATTTTCTTGGCATAGATGAGGAAGTACTTCTAGTGTTGCATCAGTTTGATGAAATCTCAATTGATATTTAGTCAGTTTCTGAAACATTAGTTTTTTCAATGCCTTCAGTGCAATTTGAACCTCTTCTATCACTACCATTGGTCATATGCTGCCTCCTGATGTGGTTTAATGTCAATTAATTCTTTTTGCTACAATGACTCTGTGTATTTCTTAATCTTCTTTTGATGCTTCCTGCATTGTTCAATTTTTTTTTTTTTTTTTTTGCACAAGGAATCCTTTAACATTGTAATTCAAGGCTTGAATTTTCTCTTCAGTTCTATCAGATTGAGAAATGCCAGGTATGTTCTTCCCTTTTGGTTTTCTTACTCCAGCTTTTTGTACATTTCTTTATAATATTTTGTCTTTTTGAGCTGCTTTTTGAAATCTTCTGTTCAGCTCTTTTACATCATCATTTCTTCCTTTCCCTTTAGCTGATCTATGTCCAAGAGCAAGTTTCAAAGTCTCTTCTGACATCCATTTTGTTTTTTTCTTTATCACTTGTGTTCTAAATGGCCTTTTGCCTTCTTCATGTTTGATGTCCTTGATGTCATCCCACAAGTCATCTCGTCTTCAGTCATTACTCTTCAATACATCAAATCTATTCTTCAGATGATCTTTAAGTTCAGGTGGAATATTTCAGCTCACCAATTTTGCCTTTTGTGGACTTGTTTTAATTCTCTTCAATTACAACTGGAACTTGCATATGAGCAATTGATGCTCTATTCTGCAATTGGCCCCTGGCTTTGTTCTCACTGATGATATTGAGCTTTTCCATTGTTTCTTTCCACAAATGTAGTTAATTTGATTCCTGTGTATTCCATGCAGTGAGGTCCATATGTAGAGTTACCATTTATTTTGTTGAAAAGTATTTGCAATGAATAATTTGTTGGTCCTGTAAAATCCTATTATGTAATCCCCTGCTTCATTTCTATCACCAAGAGCATATTTTCCAACTACTGATGCTGCTTCTTTATTTCCTACTTTTGCATTCCAATCACCAGTAATTATCAGTGCACCTTGATTTCATGTTTGATCAATTTTAAAATGCAGAAGTTGATAAAAAGTATTTAATTTCTTCATCTTTGTTGGTAGACATTGGTGCATAAATTTCAATAATAATCATATTTACTGGTCTTCCTTTTAGGCTTTTGGATAATGTACTATCACTGAAAGCATTGTATTTCAGGATAAATCTTCAAATACTCTTTTTGACAATGAATGTGACATGTTTCTTCTTCAATATGTCATTGCCAGCATAGTACACCATATGATTATCTGATTCAAAATGGCCAATACCAGTCCATTTCATCTCCCCAATTCCTATGATATTGATCTCTTTGTGTTCCACTTCATTTTTTGACAATTTCTAATTTTCTCAAATTTATACATTATAGATTCCATGTTCCATTTATTTATGGATATTTGCAGCTGTTTATTCTCATTTTGAGTCATGCTACATCAGCAAATGAAGGTCCTGAAAGCTTAACTCTATCCATGACATTATGGTCAGCTATACTTTGAGGAAGGAGCTCTGGTAGCATAGTGCCTAAGGCACTTGACTGCTAACCAGAAGGCTGGCTGTTCAAACCCACCAGCCAATCCTCGGAAGGAAGGTTGGGCAATCTACTTCCGTAGTGATACAGCCTAGGCAACCCAAGGAAGGGTCACTATGAGTTGGGTCTGACTCGAAGGCATATAACAACAACATACTTTGAGGAGACATGTCTTCCCCACTCTTATTTTGAGTGCTGTTTTAGGGGCTCATTTTCTGGCACAATATCAGACAGTGTTTCACTGCTATCCATAAAATTTTCATTGGCCAATGTTTTCAAAAGTAAATTGCTACTTCCTCCTTCCTAGTCTGTCACAGTATAGAAGCTCTGCTGAAACCTGTCCACCGTGGGTGACTCTACTGGTATTTGAAATATCAGTGGCATAGCTTCTAGCATCACAGCAATATGCAAAGCACCACATTACCACAAGCTGACAGACAAGTGGTGGAATTTTTTTTTTACATTTAGATAAATGCTTAATGCCTGTAAGTACTTTTCTTTTGGTTCCTGTTTTAGCTTCTGTACACCAAGTTCACAGAGTACTTGGAGGATGTCCACATCTGGATCTCTGTGTACAGCCGTCCCTCCTATAGCTGCTACCTCCACACACAGCGGCTCACAGTCTCCTTTTCTTTGCTGTGCATGTACTCCTGTCTCACTGCTGCACTCACTGCTACACAGCAAGAGAAGGTAGGAGCCTCATACTTCCTTGAAAGTGGCTTTCCAATCATGGACCTCCAATGTGAACCTTCAAATAAGGCATTAGCAAAAAATCAAAGCTTCACCAAAAAAAAAAAAAAAAGAGAGAGAGAGAGAGAGAAGGAAGAAGGGAGGGGGAGGGGAAGGAGAAGGTTTTAACAAAGTGAAACAATCATCAATCCTTGAAGGACTAGATAAGTGATATAGTTTAGAGGAGGAACCTGTAGAAGGTGGAGCTCTGGGTGAAGCCAGCACTGCCCTGACTCCCCATGGAGCCATATAGGACGATTTTTCTGAAGGTATTGGCACCTGAAATTTTCTGATGAGAACTCTCCTGTATTTTTTAAATATTGATAATTAATTCCAATTTTAAAAAATTTACCCTGGCCAAAAATTGATTCTGATGACCACACTTGGTATTGGGATGCCAGTTTGTAGCTCTAGTCATCCCTTATGAGGTGTAGAGATTAATTTTAAATAAGTGTCAGCAGGTAACATGGAAAATGGAGACCCTGATTTTCCTTAGTAGAAAAAGAGTTACCACATGACTTTTTAGGTTAGAGGAAACAGTTTACAGTCATTTCTTCTGACCACCACATGACCCTTAGTGGGATCCCAGCCCGCTGAGCTCACAGGGCCCCCGTGTGATTCAAGAACACATGACTAGGAGCTGGAGACAGCAGTTTCAGGGGTAGGACTCATTGTCTGCTGTAGATGTGAAGTGGCTGCTCCTGTATTCAGTGCTTGTGCAATAACAGAAATGTATTGGTAGAATCTTTTCTTAAAAAGAAGAATATGCACACATAATATGTAAAAAGTTGACAAAGGAATTTCATCAGCATGAAGGCCCTATGTAAACATAGGAAAGGAACCTAAGTTTGGCCTTCCTCTCTGACATTGGTGAGTTGTCTGACTCTGGGCTACTCAACACACCTCTCTACTCATTGATAGATTGAGGGTATCATTGATGCCTGTCACCTAAGACTGAAGTAAGGATAGAATCAGTGAAGCATGTGAGGACATTGAGCTTTGTGCCTAGAAGAAGATGGGCACTCAGCAAATGCTTGTTCAATCCAAAATATTTCTATAGTAGGAAAATGAGAATGATTAACTCTAGGATGAGAGATAAACAATTCAGAGAGAGAGAAAACATTATCAAATGTGTTCATTCACATTACATGTATGTGTAGTTACAAATGATTGTGTGTCTTTGAAACATGTATGGGTTAGAGTAAGGTTGTGGTTGGACTATGACTATTCCAGCTCTCGTTGGACATTGGCATCACCTACATCACCCATGACTCCTTCAGGACAGGCCTCTTGTGTACACTTGTGGCTTCTCCAGGGGCGCTGCTCTTGTCACTGCTCTTCCGGTTCAGCCAGGTATGGTGGCACTGTCCCACAGCCCCTGCCCTCCCAAGGATCTCCCCTTTCCACAGGTTATCACCAACTTTGAACAGCCCTTCAGTCTGCAGGACAGGTTATTACCAGCTCTAAACAGCCCTTTCTTCTGCAGAACACCACAGGGCTGTCCAGAGAGGAGCCTGGCTGCAGGCTAAAGGCTGTACCAGAGAACGCAATTCAGGGTAAGTGTGTTACTTATCAACCTTAAAAAAAAAAAAAAAAAAAAAAACCTCACTGCCAAACAAACATCAACTTGTTGTTTCCTTCTCATAGTGACCCCCATTGGATTTCCAACGCTGTAAATCTTTATAGAAATAGATCACCCAGTCTTCCTTCCATGGAGCAGCAGATGGGTTTGAACTGCTAACCTTAAAAAGGTTAAAAAAAAATCCCTCATCCACTACACCACCAGAGCTCCTTTTAACAATATTGAAAGTATAAAAATGGTAACAACAGGATATTGAAGTCTGACAGGAGAGGGTCAAAGAAACCTTCCTCCTGTGGCTACTCTTTTCCAGTCTACCAAGTAGAAATTATGACTCCTACAGGAAGATGGGGCAGTCTACTTCCGTAGTGATACTGCCTCGGAAACCCAAGGAGGGGTCGCTATGAGTCGAGTCCGACTCGACGGCAAACAACAACAACAACAACAACAACAACACAGTTAATTTTAAAGGAGCTCTGGTGGCACAGTGGTTAAAACATTCAGATGCTATCCAAAAGGTCAGTGATTCAATCTGACCAGCATCTCTGCAGAAGAAAGATGAGAAAGTCTGCTTCTATAAAGATTTCCAGCTGGGGAAACCCTATGGAGTAGTTCTACTCTGACCTATATGGTCACTATGAGTCAGAATTGACTTGATGGCAGTGGTTTTTTTTTTTTGTTGTTGTTGTTAGTGTTAATTTTAAGGAGCCCTAGTGGAGCAATGGTTGAATGCTCAGCTGCTAACTGGAAAGTCAGCAGTTGGAACCTACCAGTGGCTCTGCAAGAGAGAAGACCTGGCAGCCTGCACCTGCAAAGATTGTTGTTGTTATTGTGTGGTGTTGAGTCCATTCCTACTCATAGTGGCCCTACAGGATAGAGCATAACTGCCTCATAGGGTTTCCTAGGCTGTACTCTTTATGGGAGCAGATTGCCAGCTCTTTCTCTTGTAGAGTAGCTGGTGCGTTTGAATTGCCAACCTTTCAGTTAGCAGCCAAGCACTTAACCATTGTACCACAAGGACTCCTTCCTGTAAAGATTGCAGCCTAAGAAATCCTTTGAGAAAGGTATGTTCTGTCTTATAGGGTCACTGTGAATCTGAATCAACTCGATGGCACACAACAACAACAGCAACTAACTTTTAATTTGCATTGTGTTAATGATGAAGGAAGTTGAGCGTCTTTCATATGCTTAAAAGCCATTTAATGTTTACTGTGACCCGTTCGTTCATTTCCTTTGCCCATATGTGTGTTAACTTTTTAAAATCCTTTCCTCTTCCTTATACGTAAGTGCTTCTCAAACATTAAGTAAATTAGGCATTTATCAAATGGGTAGTGGCTTTTTTTTCCCAGGTGCGATTGATATTCATGTTGTTATTACTTTGTAAAAATTGTGTATAGTCACATTTATCAATATTTTCTTTTAAGGCTCTTTTTACTTTTCCAGCTAAACATTTTCCTCAAGATGATCTGTTTCTATAGGTCAGCATCGGGGGTATATGTGAAGGGTTGTCCAAGTCCATTCCAGGATTGCAACTTTGAGAAGTTCCCATCCTAGTCCTTTCTTGTTTCTCAAGAAAGTCTCATCCTGTGAACTCAGGAGGGAAGAGAAGAAAGCAGTGTCCTAGTAACCTTTATGTAAATCCGTGGTTTGACATCATACATTGACTTTTTTCAAATCAGGTCCTAATTCTCATGGAAGGACACTAGATACACTGAAGAAATTCAAGGTAAATAGATAATTATGTACAGGAGAGAACTCTCTAGTTTAACATTCTAACAATTAGATATTCCTGGCACCCTCCCTTGGCTGAGTTCTGACATGGAGACATCAGGCCCCTGGTGGGTTGGAGACAATGATGAATCTACAGAAAACCCCAGGCTGGCCAAAGATGATAGACAAAGGTGGGTCCTTCAGGGGAGAAGAGTGTTTCTAGGCCACAAGCCATGGTGGGGCCACTGTTCAGGAAGGGTCGGGAGGAGGTAAATCAGCAGAAGCCAGAAGGTGTGAAGCCTGGCAGAACCAGAAAGCAAACTGTGTGTGTTGGTGAAATTTTGGATGGGCCCAGGGTGGGAGAGCACGGGGCTGGGAAGTCCTTGTGAGAGCTGTGTTGTGAATGGAAAGGTCTTGGAGAAGATGTGTGCCCATGTTGAGTGAGTGCCACTCTAGGTCTTAAGTGGGACAGATGTGGCTGTGACACAATTTGAAGGGTAATTTCTAAACACTTCCACTACATTATCCCATTGGTATTTTGCTCCTTTGGATCTCTAGTTCAGTGGCTCTTCCATGTAGTAGAGATTTAAGGCGCAGAGAATCTCTTACTTATTTATTTATTTACATTGTGGTAAATATGTATTTATATATAAATATTTCCCAGTTCAACAATTTTTAGATGTATAATTCATGACATTGATTACATTCATCAGGTTGTGCCACCAGTATTACTGTCCTTTTCCAAATTGTTTCACAGCTACTAATAGAAACTCAGTGCCCCTTAAACAATGACTGCATTCTTTATTTTCTCAAGTCTTTATCTCTCCTGTTCGACAGCCCCTCAGTTCCCATTTCTTGAACATAAGCTCTTACACCCAGGGCTTGGGTACCAGTCCCTTTCATGTGTCCTGCCCGCCACCACAACTTTTTCTGTTCTCACTGCTCCCCAAATACCACACTAGTGTTTTATCCCATTTTGATTGCTCATGGCTGGAATTGTCACTTTGGAGAGGATCTAGGTCATGTATTCCAAAGAACAGTTGAGTGGTCTTCCTTGACTGCAGTGTGTGGCCACTAGAACACCACCACTGCCTCAGGCACACATGGTCACACTCTGAGGGCATGAAGAGCTGACTCTAGAGGCAGACCATGCCTCCTCTCACGACAACCCTTTCTCAGAATCCATCCAGAGGACTGGCACTTACTAATCCCTCACCAATGTCAATTCTGTCTTCTGTGAAAACTTACAAACTATGTTGCTATTGGGACAAAGCTTTATGTGTAAAATCTCTCTCCATTTATGTACTAATTTTGTCCTAACTGTTCTTTTCTAGTGTAACACATCAGATTTCTTCACTGGGAATGACAGTGACCAGAAGGCTGATCCTGGTGAGTCTGCTCATTGAGGAAGAAGGGCAGCTCCTTCTCTCAGCATGTATAAGGTTGCAAGTATGGCATGGCTTATATGTGCAACTCAGCTCTCTACCTTCCTTGTTCAGTGTCAGCCTGAAGACATGGGAGCAATAGGACAAGTGTAGGGGAAGCAGGGCAAATGTTCTAATAACATTTAAAAGCAGGACACAAGCATAGCTACAATGGAGGCATCCCATGTGTTGCAGGACTTCTTGTGTGGATTGACATTGATTTGGTCTTAGCTTTTAAGGTCAGTAATAGACTCTTAAATTTTCATTAAGCATTCTAAAATTTGAAGCTTCCAATTTTTTGATAGCAATATATTAATTAGGGTAAAGAAAGTCTGCAGTGTCAGATTGTGGAAGCTTGGCAATAGGCCAGTGGAGACAGGTGAGTTAATCATGAACACTAGGGCTGAGTCCCTGGAGACCTGAAAGAATGGCCAAATATCTAAGGTTAATGTCCCAGAGGGGACAATCTTGGTCCTGTCCTAGCAGGGAGCAGCAAGAAGTGAAGAATCCACAGCTTGCATGTGGCTGCAGGGTCTTAGAGCAGCAGAGTGGATGAGCAAATGGGTTTCTCAGGCTCCATCCCTAGATCTGGAGCTGAGGATGCTGTGGCTTTGTGGGTAGTGGCTGTGAGGGAGGTGCTGGCAGTTGAAGGAGGAGAAGATGTTGTTGTGCCCACCATTGCAGAAGGCTTTACACATGGTAAACCAAAAAAAAAAAAAAAACCCACTGTAGGGTATAAAAAAGTTGTTTTTGATAGTGAATGGGATCTCTGGCACAAGAGCTGGGTTCAGTGCAGGGTACAAGTACTGGCTGGCAATCAGGGAACTAGAAATCATGTCAGATCCTGGTCACCAGGACAAGCTACACACCTGGAAACCTGATGAGTGGTCTAGGAGGTGAGATTGCAGAGTGCTAGGCTCCATGCTCAACACACCAGGTAGGAAGGAGATGGTTCAGGAGCTGTTGCTCAGGTCACCTCTGCTGTCCCAGCCAGAGGGCTACAAGGTTTGCCTAATGCCAATTTCCTGGAAAAGCCTCTCTGTCTGTCTAAACATGTTGTGCTGCTCTGCCTAAATTATGGAATGGCCTCTGGAGGTATCCTCTATGGGGAATCTACCTATGAGCTTTCCCTTGAGGGAATGTGGCTACAGAGTCCTCCATTTGTAGGCAGAAAGCACTACACAGGAGCCCTCTCATCATAAGTATGTCTTTAGAATGAAATCTGAAGGCAATGAAATCTGAATAACACACCCAAACCACTGCCCTGATGGCAAATGGGGAATGATCCAAATCATGGTAGAACCTACCTACTGCAGGTCACCCTACTTAGTCATCTGGGGTATGGGATGGAAATTGGTTCATCAGTCTTTGCTATTGAGGGGCTTAGGAAGCGAGTATCCCTGAGGGGAAATTTTGTGCTTCCTGTCACAACAACAATGGGAAAAGATAAAAGTCCCAGGTTGGTAAGATTTGATACTAAAACTTTGCCTTCTGCCCTGTTATTCCTCAGCACCCAGTAAAGGGCTTGCAGATCTCATTTCCCAACGGCAGAGGGTGCTTCCATCTTGGGTGGGCTCTGCAGCCTGGGCTGTATGTGCAATGGTGTCCATAGCCTGTGGTTTGGGAACAGGAGTTCTAGGATACAGGTGAGTCATACAGCTTTTAAAAATATCCTCAAGTCCTTTGATTGAAGTCATACATTTATAGGGAAATCCCTGCATTTCCGGGAACACATGAAATGCAAGTATCACATGTTGCTATTGCTATTTTCTCCTTCATTAATCCCCAGGTGAATAAAATCATATGCAGTGATTGGTTAGCCCAGCCAAATCTGTGACTGCAGTCTAGACTGAGATGAACTCCAGGTATGACAGGAAGCTTCAAGACCCATCACTCAAGGAAGGAAAGATACCAGCATTTATGAAGCGACCAAGAGATCTAGGGACTGAGCTGGTGCACCAGTGTAGAGGATGTCATGCATCTTTTCAAGTGTGTTAGACTGGGTTCCCTAGAAAAACAAAAGCCAATAAAGCTTATATATATATATATATAGAGAGAGAGAGAGAGAGAGAGAGAGAAATTTATCTTAGGAAAATGGCTCACACACTTAAAGAAGCTGGCAAGACCAAAGTTCCTGAATCAAACATCAAGCGGGAGGCTTTTCCATGTCAAGCTGGAGGCTTTTCCCAGTCTTGTAACCACAGGGGCTGAGGAGCTCAAGGCTGGCAGACATTACACCGGCTGTTGACTCCAACGAATGACAAATCCAAGATCTCCAAGTTGAATGGTGGACTGTTCACTCTCGAACAGTTGTAGGCAGCACAAAAGAATCCCAATCCACAGAAGAATGTCTCTTTTCCCAGGATGTCCTTGGATATACTAGAAGCAGGCCACACCCCTCAGGAAACTCGCTTTCACCAGATTGCCTGCTCAAAACATAATCATCTGATCCCATCATGGGAATAACCACATCACAACAGCTTAAACCACACAGAATCGTGGTCCAGCCAAGTTGACACACAGCTCCAACTATCACACAAGTCATTACAAAAAGTAGACACTTGCTAGGCAGCACTGGGACTCCTGTTTCCTAGATTCAGACCTGGTTCCACCATGTATACTGACCCTTGGTCTGGACTCCAAGGTAGCTCCACTCTACCTTGCCTGCCCCCAGATTTGATTCAGCAAGGCCACAGGGGCCCAACTGTACATAAAATAAGAAAAGTAGTGACAAAATCAAAGCACTTCATTCCCTGCTCTTTTCTTTGTCCCAGTTAATATATTGAATGATTCTGTGATGATAGGAAAGTTACTTAAAACCTCTCTGTACCTCAGTTTGCTCATCTGTAAAAATGTTTTTTTTTCTTAGTTGCTGTTGAGTTGGTTCTAACTCATTTTACCCCATCTGACATAGGAGAGGGAGCTCTGGTGGCATAGTACCTAAGGCACTTGACTGCTAACAGAAGGCTGGATGTTCAAACCCACCAGCCACTCCTTGGAATGAAAGTTGGCCAATCTACTTCCGTAGTGATACCACCTCGGAAATCCAAGCATGGGTCACTATGAGTCAGATCCGACTCAACGGCAGTGAGTTTGAAAGTGAGACATAGGAGAACTTTCTCATAGGAAGTTTTCTAGGCTTCAGTCTTTATAGGAGCAGATCACCAGGTCTTTTTTCCCACAGAGCCACTGGGTGGCTTAGCAGCTGAATACTTAACCATTGCAACACCAGAGCTCTTCATCTATAAATAGGGGTACTAATAGTGTTTTGGAATTGACTAGACAGCAATGGGTTTTTTGAGGAAATAGTGCTTAGTTTATAGGGTGTTATAAGGAATAAAGGCAATACTGAGAAAAACACTGAACAAAACAATGAATATAGGCACAGTACCTAGGATCTATTAAGTGCTCAGCAGATGTTAACATTATTGTTATTGCTGTTTTTAGTATTATACCAACCTCCCTTTTCTGGTATCTGTTCCTTGTCCCATGTCTGTGTATTGGGTTTTCCTTTTTCTTTCTTCTTGTGTGGCTCCCAGGAGGTTGATGCCCTTCTTTGGACAGGAGGCGTGCCCCCCTTCCAGTGAGCAGAAATATGCTGCGCCCATCTCCACAAGCAGCCTCCTTGCCATGGTCATGCCCACCACTACAAGAGCCTGAAGATCTCTCTCTCTCTCTCTTTTTTTAATCTCTGTGCTCAAATAACAACAGCTGCCATCATAGGGTCGCTGACCACAGCTCTCTCTCTTGGAGCAGGTTTGACTCAACACAATGTGTGCGGTGGCTGCATCTGCTGTTTCTATCTGTGGTGAGCTGTGCTTTTGTCACCCAGCCGCTGATGGTAAGGAACACCCCATGTTACAGCAGCTGTCTGCAAATAGGAGGAAAAGTGAAATAAGTGAAATCATAGTAATGTCATAGAATATAGCTTGATATAAGATATGATGAGGAAAAGCTGCGAGCAAAGCCTTGTGTTAAACACCACATGGCATGTTACTTTATCTCCACAAATGTCCCATTTTTCATATGGAGAAAGAGCCTTAGAGAGGTGAAGCACATGGCCACTCCTAATGAGTAGTGGGGGCAGAGTTGAAGGTAGGTGATGACATGTGTCTGTTTAGAACCAGAAAGTAGGGTCTCATTTGTAATGAAGTAATAAGAGGACAGCTCTAGTGGTAGAACTGGAACACTCGTGCTCCAGCTACTCATGGATGTCATGTTCTTCCTTCTAGATATGTATGATGGCATTGGGTTTTGCTTGGAAGAGAAAAGATGACAAAGCCTTTTATGCTGAGTCTTTGTATGATGCTACCAAGGATTTAGAATCTGAATTGGAGCAGCTTTCCCAGACTCGTGTCCCCTTTTTTTCAAGATGTGACATTCCTGACAGTGCCAGTGAATTTGAAAAAGTGAGAAAATTATACAGCTTTAACTGGGCTTTACAGAACTACTTTATATTCTCATCATGCAATCTGAAATAATTCTTGAAATTCAAGTTTGATTGTGTTTAGTGGGAACCCGTGGGATACGTTCTAATTTCATATACTTCTTGGTGCACACATACATGAACTCAGAGGTGTGTGTCTGTACCTTTGCCCTAGTTCCAAAGACACCAGGATATCAAGGAAATGAGCATTTTTAAAATATGGAAGCAAATGAGAAATGTAATTCTTGGCCATGACTTTGGAGAACTTTGAGACCATTTACATTTCAGCAGACCCACAGAAAAACCATACACTCTCCCTCTCTCCCTCTCTCCCTCCCTCCCTCCCTTTGTTCCTTCTTTCCTTCCTTCCACTTTGCCTATTATGTACATAGCATTCTCTTGGGAAGTGTGGATAATATGCATGAAGAGAAAGATTTATAGCCCACATGAAGAAATCTACAGACTTGCTGTTAATGTAAATGCTCATGAAATGCAGTGTGCAGTTTTATATTCATAGGAAAAAACTAGAAGTCAATTATCCCCCAGGACACAATCCCAGTTCATTTCTAGGCAGACTCATCTCTGTCTTCGTCTTCCCTCCATCATCTCAAAGGAGACTAATGAAATCCCTAATGGCTAAATGGCTTTGTCAAATGGCCTTTCTGTGGCTTTCCAGATCCTCATCCTCTTGGCCTCACCTGGAATTTATGATGATGATGATTATAAATATATATTGAGTATAGACTATGCACTAGTCATTGTGCTAAGTACTTTATTTACATTTATTATACAATTCTTATGACGTAGGTAGCATTATTACATACCATTTTAAAGATGAAAGAAATTGATGCTTAGCAAGGTGAAGTCACTTGACCCAGATCACATAAGATATAAGGGATGGATTTGGGACCCACACTTTGTCAGTCTCACTACTTTCTTTTGCATTCCTTTTCTTCTATCACATTT